TCCACAATCAACACCCCTGGAAGCAGCAGTCAAGAAATAAGACGTTGTACTGCACTGGGAAAATCTTCTGCAAAAGACCTCTTAAAAGCGTTAAGAAGCAAAGATGTCACTTTGAAGACTAAGGTGTGCCTGACCCAAGCCAAGATATTTTCAGTCACCTCATATGCATGTGAAACCTGGACAATGAATAAGGAAGAATGAAGAGTTGATGTCTTTGAATTATGGTGTTGATAAAGAATACTGAAAATACCATGGACTGCCGGAAGGAACAAATCTGTCCTGGAGGAAGTACAGAATGGTCCTTGGAAGGGAGAATGGCCAGACTTCATCTCACCTACTTTGGTCATGTTACCAGAAGGGACCATTTGCTGGAGAAGGATGTCAGGCTTGGTAAGGTGGAGGGTCAACGAAACAGGGGAAGGCCCTCAGAGAGATGGATTGACAGGATGGCTGCTACAGTGGGCTCAAGCATGGCCACAACTGAGGATGGTGCAGTGTTGATGGATAGTGTTTCATTCTGTTGCACACAGGCCACTATGAGTTGGAGCCAACTTGATGGCACCCAACACCACAGTATGGGTGGAGCTTGAAAACATTATGCTGAGTGAAATAAGCTGGTTACAACAGGGCAAATATTATATGACCTCACTTGTATAAGAAGTTAGGAAAAGGCAAATGTATAGAGACCAAAGTTTATTATTGGATACCAGGAACAGCATATGAAAGCTGGGCAATGAATGAGGAAGATCAAAAAATTGGTGCATTTGAATTATGGTGTTGGCAAAGAATATTGAATATACCAGGAACTGCCAGAAGAACAAACCAATCTGTTGTGGGATGCTCCCAGGAAGAGAGGATGGCAAGACCTTCTCTCACATACTTTGCACACTATTAGGAGGGATCAGTCCCTGGAGAAGGTCATCATATGCTTGGTAAAGTAGAGGGTCAGCAAAAAAGAGGAAGCCCCTCATTCAGCTAGATGAACTGACACAGAAGCTGCAACAATGGGCTCTAACAGCAACAATCGTGAGGACGGCACAGTACTAGGCAGTGTTTTGTTCTGCTATACATACGGTCACTCTGAGTCAGAACCAACTCAATGGCACCTAACAACAACAGCTAGGGGTGGGAGGGAAGGGGAAAAGGGGGTTAATGGTGATGGGAAAATAACATTGATTAAGGGTAGGATTCACAGCCGTTTACTGCAAATGCTGTTAATAAGCATTAATAACTTATGCCTGTGTGTGCTCCTTGGCAGCAAGAATGGGCAGACTTCCTCTCACCTACTTTGGTCATGTTGTCTGAAGGGACCATTCCCTGGAGAAATATATCATGCTTGGCAAAGGGGAGAGTCAGCTTAAAAGGGAGAGGCCCTCAAAGAGATGGACTGACACAGTGGCTGCAACGATGGGCTCAGGTATAGCAAGGATTGTGAGGCTGGCACAGGACCAGGCAGTGTTTTGTTCTATTGTACATAGGGGTTGCTATGAGTCAGAGACCACTCAACGACACCTAACAACGACAACACAACTCCTGTGAAAAGTTGAATTGGCAAGTTTGTATGATACATGTATTTACAACAATGACACACACACCCCCCCAAAAAAAAAAAAAAACCTGCTTATGTACAGCCAAACACCTCATGGGATTTGGTTCCTTGGTTTGGCGGTTAGGGTTATGGTTTCATGGGACATCCCAGTTAAATGGCCTAATAGCATGTTTAGTGCTTCTATTCTACCTTTTAGTGCATTGTGTAATGCCTTGGGTCTTAAAAGCTTGCAAGCAGCCATCCAAAGCACAATAGTTGGTCTCTATTCACCTGGAGCAACAGAGGAAAAACTGTCAGGAATAGGAGGAGGATATGGAACGTATGGCTAATTACCTCCATAAACAACTGCCCCCTTTGTCATGAGACCAGAACTGGATGGTGCCCAGCTGCTATTACTGAACATTTTGATCAAAGATTCCATAAAAGAGTCCTGATCAAGAGACAGAAAATGGAGAACAGAATATCAAATTCCCATGGACCCTAGACTTTCTGGAGCCATAGAGACTGAAACTATTGTCCTGGGATAATCTTTAACCTTAAAACAAAAATATCCCCTGAAGTCACCTTAAAACTGAACAATGTTGTTGTTGTTAGGTGCCATCAAGTCAACTCCAACTCCTAAGCAACCCTACGTACCACAGAACAGAACACTGCCCAGTCCTACACCATCCTCACAATCCTTAATAGGTCCGAGCCCATTGTTACACTCAGTGTCAATCTATGTCATTGAGGGTCTTCCCCTTTTTGCTGACTCTCTACCAAGCATGATATCCTTCTCCAAGAATGGGTCCCTACTGACAACATGACCACTGTATGTGAGCTGAAGTCTGGCCATTCTCACTTCTAACAAGAATTCCAGCTGCATTTCTTCCAGAAAGATTTGTTCATTCCTCTGCAGTCTGTAGTATTTTTGGTATTCTTCGCCAACACCACAATTCAAATGCTTCAAATTCTACCTCAGTCCTCACTGCCCAAAACTAAACAGTATTTTTGCTTAACCAGTAAAAAGGTCTGCCTTGAGCATTCTGCTCTTTAACTATGTCTATGGGATCAAACTGACAATAGCAACTCAAAAGTTTAGACAGGAACTTCAGAGGGCAATGAGTCTGTTAATGGGGGACAAACAACTCCAAAAAGAATGGTGAAAATGGTTGCACCACTCGAATATAATCAGTGTCCCTAAATTGTACGTGTAGAAATGGTTAAATTAGTGTATGTTTTGCTGTGTATATTCTCAACAACAAAATAAATAAAATTTAGGGGGGAATAAAATCCCTCTGGAGCACAGTTCTCCTTTGTCACACATGCAGTTGTCAGAGTAGGAATCAATGCCGTGGCAACTAGCAGGTTTTTTGGTTGTTTTTTTTTTAATCATTCTTTGGTTTTTTGGCCAGTCTTTGTTTCATGGTATCTGAAAATTTCTGTCTCTGTGATTAAATGAATAAAATTACATGCTCTACCAGGAAAGGGGAAGTAGTCCCTAGTCAGGCAGATCTGATACCACCCCTTTATCTATGACCATGGAACAGAGGTACTTTGTGTTAATCATTTTATTTATTTCTTTTAATCACTCTGAAATATAGGTACCACTATATGTAGGGAGCTCTAGTAGCATAGTGCCTAAGGCACTTGACTGCTAACCAGAAGGCTGGTGGTTCAAACCCACCAGCCACTCCTTGGAAGGAAGATGGGGCAATCTACTTCTGTAGTGATACTGCCTTGGAAACCCAAGGAGGGGTCGCTATGAGTCGGGTCCAACTTGACGGCACATAACAACAACAACAACAACAACAAATGTAGGATTGGCAGATCCTAGCATACCACACAGAAGTTTTGTAAGGAGACACTGCCTAGGAAACTTGCCTACTTCTAACTTCTTAGCCAAACATGCCTCCAAGTGCATTACAACAGAGTAGCAACAACTCCTTTCCCTGCACAAAGTAAAGATCTTAACAGTGAACACTTTGATTCCTCCCCTAGGGCAAGTCCATGATAGCCACGACCTGTGGCAAAACAGTGGGAATATCAGCACACAGAGAGCCATCCCTATCAAGAGATGCAAACACACACATGATCAAGAAAAAAAGGCTCTGTGGAACTATAGGCAAGTTTATTTTATTTTATTTTCATAAAGGCAACATCAACTTTCCCTTTTAAATCACTTTTCTGAAAATGCACTCTTTATCAATGTAAGCGCATTTGGTTCTGTGTAAACTTACAAAAACATCTATAACTGATTAACTCAGTTAATAGCTCATAAGATAGGTTTTTGCTTTTGGAGGAATTAGAGGTCTCCCCAGATTTTGTGGGTGGCTTTGGTCAGTTCTGCTGAATTAAGGCTGTAAGGATGGAGATAGCATTTTATCTTAATGGTGTGAGAAGGTTAATTGGATGATAATAACGATTATCATCATCATCATTATGATGATGAAATGACTGATGAAAAGTTTGAGTCACCCAAAATTTAAAAAAAAAAAAAAAACTGTGACACTGTAAAAAATGTCATCCTCTCTTTAAAATATTGGCCTTGGTTTTTGACAGTCATTTCTATGCCACATCAGCATAACTTTTAGTTGATTCTTCTTCCCTCGGTGATGGCATGCATTTCAAAATGATTAAGGTGGCATTGTCAGTTTATCGGTCCTCTGTAATTTTGAAAGCAAGTACAAGACCCCAAAAGTGTTTTGGTGGCCTCTGCCTTATTTTTGAAATTTAAATATTTATCTGCTATAATTAAAACAAAACATAAGCACAAGAAACTGAAACCATGTTTGAATTTCCCTGAATATGTTTGGAATTTGAATGCCTTGTATTTCATGGCTGCAAATCAGAGGATGCTAATACTTTCCTAGCCTAACACTTGTAATCAGCATGAAAATTTGGCTTCTGTTTACAAATAATCCTTTACAATGAAAGAATAAAAATCTAGGTTCATTAATTCTTTCTGAATGTATTTGACTTCATGCACTATCACATGCTTCAGACACATTGTTAGAAAAATACTACTACAAGGACAGCATGTCAGAATTTTCTATATTGTTTCATAAAAGCTGGAGACCCATTAGAGAGCCTGTTTTTCACAGTGGCAGTAGCGATTTAGTTCACGAACCAGTTCTCTATACTTCCTCTGGCGAAACCCCATCAGTCCAAGTTAGGAAATTATCTTTTTCCCCTTCAATATTATCTGTAACCTCATGGAAACAGAACTCAGAATTCTCCTCAAACTTACTTACTTACGCACACAGGCAAGCCCAACGTGGGTAAGGATGCCTCAGTCCAGGTGAACTCTTGCCAGGATGAAACTCCACATTGAAAGAGAGAAAGCTAACTTCAGGGTGAGAAGCCAGCTTTCTACTATGGATGTAAATCTTCCTCCTGACATCGTTCAGGGAACTCTTACCAAAATACCATCGTAAGTAAGCTGTTAACTTAGGAAGTTCTTTAGCTCTGGTTTTGGCATTTTCATTTGTTACAGGGCATCGTGGAGGTCATGATCCACAGTGGACTGTGTGTAAGAGGAGCTGGAGGTGTCTGCAGAGTAAATTTGGAGAAGGCCACAGTATTGGCAAAGCACAAAAGGGCCCCTGCAGGTTTTGAAGAGCTGTACAATGTACTTTCGAAATTTCTCCCCTAGAAAAAAGTAAATGACCGGATTAAGGCAGCAGTGAACAAAAGCCAGCGTTTCTGTGGCCTGAATGGCATAGTCCAGTTGTCTCTCAAAGATGCAGTCCTGAAGGACTTCAAGCTCCACCAGGGTCTCCAGGAAAAGCACTATGTTGTAAGGTGTCCAGAACCCAAGGAAGAGGACCACCACGGCAAAGATCATCTTCACCGCCTTGTTCTTCTTCTCGTTCTTACAGTGCTTCAGGGTCCTGATGATCATGGAGTAGCAAAACAGCATGATCCCCAAGGGGAGCACCAATCCCAGAATGTTGATCTCCAGCGAGCTCAGAACCTTCCACGTTGTAGAGTTGAAAGAGTACTTGGTTTTGCAGTAGGTGTGGTTGTGCTCAGTGTAACAAGTGCTAAATACAAGGCCTGGAAGTGAGGCTAATACAGCCACTGACCACGTGGCCAAGCTGGTAATGACTCCGTAAGTCAAAGTCCTCGCTCTCAAGGAAAACACTGCATGCACAATCGCCAGATACCTGTCAATGCTCATGAGCATGATGAAGAATATGCCACTATAAAAGCCCACCAAGTAGATCCAGGAGATGATCTTGCAGAGACCCAGTCCAAACACCCACTGGTCGGCAGCGTAGTAGCCCCAGAAGGGGAGGGAGAACACGAAGAGCAGATCGGAGATCGCAAGGTTGAGCAGGTACACATCTGTCATGGACTTGAGACGCTTGTACTTCAGCAGGACCAGAACCACCACTGAATTTCCAAGGAGCCCAAAGAGGAAGACTAAGGAGTAAAGGGGGGGCAGGAAGAGCTCCCCAAATGCCTTGATGCCTTCTTTGGTGCAAGGCTTGGGGATACTATCATACAGATAATAATTGTTATACATACTTTCATCCAGGGTAGTGTCTGCTTTGGCCGTGGGGTTCATTTTTTAGATGTACAGGCTCCTTGGGGCACGCCTGGGTCCAATCAGCAGAAGCAAATAGTGGGAGAAGCAAGTCAGATTTCTGTAAGAACAAAAACAAATCACAACTGTGCTGAATGCAGAGCAGAGCTGCGTAATGTTTATCCCCCAGATCATTATGCACCTTCCCACATGGAAGGCCTCAATTCCTCAAAGGGTAGTGCAGCCAAAAAAAGAAAAACCCTAGCCTTCGGAGTTCAGACACTGTTGGTTCAAATTCTGAACTTTGGCTATTCGTAGGGGTATTTTCATACCCCTCTGCTGGGAGCTGGAGCTCTGGTAGCATAGTGCCTAAGACATTTGACTGTTAACCAGAAGGCTGGCGGTTCAAACCTACCAGCCACTCCTCGGAAGGAAGGTTGGGCAATCTACTTCCGTAGTGATACTGCCTCGGAAACCCAAGGAGGGGTCGCTATGAGTTGGGTCTGACTTGATGGCATATAACAACAACAACTGCTGGGAGCTTGTTTTCTCATAAGGTGGGGGAGTAAAACTTCATTTTCACGGAGGCTGTAGAAATGTTTCTAAAAGACTTTTTGTAGCCTGGGGTGGAGTCTCTGGGTGGTGCACAGTTCACATACTTGGCTACTAACTGAAAGGCTGGAGGTTCAAGTCCACCAGAGGGGCCTTGCAAGAAAGTCCTGGCCATGTACTTCTGAAAAGTCAGCCATTGAAAAGCTGTGGAGCACAGTTCTACACTGACACCCAGGAGGTCAAGATGTGGCAGAATCAATTGGGCAGCAACTAGACCTGATAGACTGGGTCACTGAAATCACCTGCACGTGTCACAAGACCAGTTAATATCCCCACTAGAACTGCACCCAGGACTGTTCTGACATACAAGAAAGCATGTTAAATCTATGCATGTTTTCCCTTCAGATTATAACTCCAAAAACTAATTGCTGAGATAATCATTAGAATTATCTAATTCTAATTAGACAGAATTAGAAGGGAGCTAGGTTGTCACTTGTTTTTATTTAGAAATAGTAATTCTTCCTGCACATTGTATACTTTATAGATTTCAAAGCATGTTTTGCAAGGATTGTGCATTTAAATCCTACTCTCATGCTTCTGTCCCTATCACCGCTCCAACAAAAAACCTTGTACTCTCAGCCAAATTAAGCATAATTGACTCATGTTGGAGGTGAAGTGACTTCCAAAGACCACACAGCTATATGTAGCACTTGCTCGTTGGACCCCAGGTCCCAGTGATGTGCTGGTAAATCAGATCTCCAACTGGGGTCACAGGGCCGGGTGGGTGGGGTAGAATGTTCTGGTTCATGGTGTTGGCTGATTTTTGTGGTATAAATATTCTCACCGTAGCCAATTTCAAGTTATCTATTGCTGTCAAGTCAATATTAACTCATCGTGATCCCATACGACAGAGTAGAACTGTCCTATAGGGTTTCCAAGGCTGTGATCTTTATGGAAGTAGACTGCCTCATCTTTCTCCCACAGAGAGCCTGTGGGGAACTGCTGATCTTTAGACAGCAGCCAAGTGCTTAACTGTGACGCCATCAAGTTGATTCTGACTCATAGCAACCCCCATTGGTTTGCCAAAGCTGTGAACCTTTATGGAAGTACATTGCCTCATCTTCTTCCCATGGAGCAGCTGGTGGGTTTAAACCACCAACCTTCTGGGTAGTAGCCAAATGCCTTACCCACTATGCCACCAAAAAAGCAAAAAACAAACTCACTGCTGTTGAGTCAATTCGACTTATAGTGACCCCTTCTTGGGTTTACAAGGCAGTATCTCTATGGAAGTATATTGCCCAGTCTTCCTTCCAAGGAGTGGCCGGTGGGTTTGAACTGCTAGCCTGCTGGTTAGCAGTCAAGGGCCTTAGGCACTACGCCCCCAGAGTTCCTACTGCGCTACCAGAGCTCCTTCATTTCAAGTTAACCTATTGCTATAGAGCCTATTCCAACTCATAGGGGCCCTATAGAGCAGAGTATAACTGCTCCATATGGTTTCCAAGGCCATAAATCTTTATGGAAGTAGATTGCCTCATCTTTCTCCTGTGGACCAGCTCATGGGTTTGAATCACCGACCTTTCAGTTAACAGCCAAGCACTTAACTGTGACACTAGGGCTTCTTTAATTTCAAGTTACCAACGTATTAATAACTGCTTCACAAAATTCCTCAATGTTTAACAATCAGCTTTCAGAAGCTGGTATAAGCTGGCTGCAGCACACCACTGCCACAACCCATGTTTGCTCTAGGGTGTCATCACAGGTGGGAAACTTCCTGGCCTTCCCTGCATTGGTGGCCAGCCACTCCTGGGCCAATTGGACACCTAATGCAGCAAATGTGTTTTCAAGCCCTTCAGAAGGTCACATTATTCAGTTGGGTAATTTGAGGGAACTTCTTGGTCTTTTTCTCAAATAACACATAAGAATTAATGTAAGCAGCACTCAATCCTATTTGAGTGGGAATTCATCCAACAGACCTAGAAAAGGCACATTATGGCCAGAAAGGAACTCTCTCCCTCTTCAAGTACCCCCATTTCCTGCCTAAGTTAGCAGATAAAGAGGTTAAAACCTTTTTAGAGTTACATATATGCTCACATGTGAATCAAAGTAATTCCACGATGAAGGGCCTTTTCTGCATCAAGGCCGCCCCCTCTAGCTTCCTTCTTAATGCTTCCATGGCTCCCTGACATGCCTCATTTAACTCCTTTGTCATTGTTCGGTAATTCACATCTACTGCCCCCACCCCTGCGAGCTCTGCTGGCATAGTGGCTAAGGCACTTGACTGCTAACCAGAAGGCTGGAGGTTCAAACCCACCAGCCACTCCACGGAAGGAAGGTTGGGCAATCTACTTCCGTAGTGATACCGCCTCAGAAACCCAAGGAGGGGTCGCTATGAGTAGGATCTGACTTGATGGCAATGAGTTTGGTTTTTTATTGCCTCCCACCACACACACCCAAACGCCTAAACAGTGGGTTTCTTAAAAGAGGTATTTTGGTTTACTCCTGCAAACCAGTGTGGAAGACCTGGTGCATCATAGTTTCCCAAAAATATTGTCCAATGAACACCCATTCTAGTCTTTCTCCAGTATTTTATCCGTGAAAACTAGAGGAATGAAAGAGGCTGAGGGACTACAACATTATGAGAAAAACAAACAAACAATAAAACACAGCTGGTAGATGTTTGGAATTATCCTGTAGCCCTTATTTCTGTGTGTTCCTTGGCCTGTAGGATTGCAACTGAAGAGAGAAGCAGGAAAGTTTGTAGTTCTAATGAAAATTATCTATGTCCTGGGCATGAGGACTTAGACCCAATGTGGTAAGGGAGAGCCTGGCAGCTATGATGGCCCTGTAGAGGAAGGCTCGCAGACTGTGGGTTCAGGTAGATCCTTGTGTGAGCTCCAAGTTATCTGCCAGTTGTGAGCACTTGAATGACCAAGACACCTGAATGTTGGGGCTGGCTGATTGACCTGAGGCCCTGGGAAGGTCCCCATCCCCACTTACCTTGCTTTGCTGAAAGTGTCTCGGAGGAAGGTCTGTGAGGCAATGCTGGGCTCACTGAAAAAGCACACTGCTAAGAAAGACAGGTGCCTTTGAAGGGTGCGTGGCTTCCTGTGAGTACAGCCCTATCTGCTGAGCTCACATGGGTTTTTTGATAGAAGCAGCAGAAAATGAATAACTCTTAGTCACTCATTTCTCACAACTGAAAGCTGGGAAAGTTTGTTCTTTGCTGGGTTAGAGAAAAATGAAATATGTTTTTTTTAAACAGAAGCTTTTAAAATTTAGAAAAATTATTTAGCTTTAGTCACCCACATTCTTTGATTCAATAATTGATGCACCCTTGACGCGCTGGGACGCTAACCAAAGGGTGGCAGTTGGAATCCACCCAGAGGTGCCCCAGAAGAAAGGCCTGACTGTCCACTTCCAAAAAATCAGCTGTTGAAAACCCTCTGGAGCACAGTGCTACTCTGATCCACATGGGGTCTCCAGGAGTTGGAGGTAACTTGGTAACAATTGATTTTCAATCTTGTATAAAAGTGACATGCAACATAGCTTTTCCCACAAGAAGATTCCACCCTCCCCCAAGCCCTGTCTACTTAGAAATTGTGGAGCTTCCACTGACAGTGGTCTGGGATGAGAGAGTTCCTTGGATGTGGGTAGCCATGGGGTTGGCATCATCCCTGAGTCTTTTCCACATTCTCACCTTGTTGCCAGCTTCCAGATGTTTTGCATCCGTATGTCTATGGGTACTCAGCTCTTTGATGGTTCAGCTTAAAGACCCACAAGTATCACTCTTCCTGAAGAAATTACATGAATAAGAACTGAAACATTAATCTAGAGCAGTGTTTGTCAATCTTTTTTTCATCATTGACTCCCGTTCCAAAAAAAAACAAACCAAACATACTGCCATGGAATCAATTCCAACTCATCGTGACCCCTTTGGATTTCCAAGGCAGTAAATCTTTATGAGGAGCTCTAAGGCACTTGACTGCTAACCAGAAGGCTAGCGGTTCAAACCCACCAGCCACTCCTCGGAAGGAAGGTTGGGCAATCCTACTTCTGTAGTGATGCTGCCTCGGAAACCCAAGGAGGGGTCGCTATGAGTCAGGGGCGACTCGATGGCACATAACAACAACAACAACAAATCTTTATGGGAGTAGACTGCCCAGTCTTTCTTCTGCAGAATGGCTGGTGGGTTTGAACCACCAACCTTGTGGTTAGCAGTCAAATGCCTTAAGCACTATGCCATCAGAGTTCCTTATTGACCCCCTAAGGAGTCTTTTTCAACATTCTTTTTTTTTTTTTTTCCCTAATTGGCTCATCCCCATGAAATTTTAATATCATAGATAAAATAATCTTTATGTACTGGTTGTACAAGACAGAGAATAACAAATGCTGGCAAGGATGTGGAGAGACTGGGACTCTCATACACTGCTGGTGAGACTATAAAATGATACAATCACTGTGGAAAGCAGTATGGAGATTCCTCAGAAAATTGGAATTGGAAATACCATTTGA